TTAATGAGATATGACATTTAGAGATTACAATCATGGGGCTAGGAGATATACACATTTTAATCAATACAGATTGCAAAACTGCTTTCCAAAAATGCTGGGCCAATTACACTCCCAAAAGCATATATGAACATTAATCTAATTAAATCTTGTTTTAAATATTTTAATCAATTTGATAGATGAACATTGTATTTTATTACCTCTTAATTTGTTTATTACCACTAGGGAGCTTATTAATAATAGGGAGTTTGAACATAAGTTCATGTTTATTGGTCTTTTATTTTTCCTTTGGTGAACTGTCTATTCATATGCTTTGTTCCTTTTTCTATGCAGGTTCGTTCTTTCATTCATTCTTCCTTCAAAGATTTCTTGAGTGCCAACTATGTAGCAGGTGTTATGGAAACAATGAGAACTCAATGATCTCAAGGAGCTTACATTTTAAGCAGAGAATTAAGTATTTACTAGTAAAATAAAGTATAGATAATGTTATGAATGAAGCCAGGATACCTAATGTCATGGAAAGAGATCTAATCTTTACTTTACTGTGTTGTTTTTTCTAAGGTTCTAAATTAATTTTTCTATAGTTTGGAAGTCCAAATCATCTGAAATTTTAAAAAAATATTTTTATTAATTTTTAAAGAGAGGAAGGGGGAGGGAGAGAGAAACATCAATATGAGAGTGAAGCATCAATTGGCTGCCTCCTGCATCGATGTGGGAGGCAACTCATCAATGTCTCTCTCTCACATTGATGTTTCTCTCTCTCTCCCTAAAATCAATAAAAAAATATTTTTTAAAAAAGAAATGAATGTAAACTATATTCATCTTAAAGACTGCAGTAAACATTTGTTTTCTGTTCAGTTCTTGTCAGAAAGATGGCCATTTTAATTTCAGTAAAGGCAAATCTGTTGGATCATGTATTCATACTGGGCTATTTATAATCTCTCTCAAAAAGTTAAGATATAAAATAATATCATGAAGTAACATGCGCAGTAGATCACGTAGTGTTTAGCTGGGGCAGATTTTATGGGAACATAAGGACCAATTGATACCATACAGAGAGAAACTGATCTCAACAATGTGGACCCTCAGGTACTGATTTCCCAGTTTCAAATCTAGTCCCCATATGGCCTGCTGTGTTACAGTTTCTGTTCTTGAACACCTATTTTACTTATATGTGTGTGTATGTGTGTATGTAAATACATGGAGGTTAGGAGTGTGTGTGTTTTCTTTTAAAAAAAAAAAAGCTCTTTTGGGTGTTTATGTGCACGTGTTATAAAAAGTCAAATGGCTTAAATTCAAACCTGGGTCTTTTAGCAGTGGGGCAAGAGCCCACTTTCACCATGTATATTAGCCAAAGCTATACACCTGGTGTATCTCTAATGAATTCCACTACTTAAGCTGGCTGTGTGTTCCTACAAAATTACTCAACTAAGAAAAAGAATTAAGCCAGGCTTCCTAACAACACAAAAGTAGGTATTTTTGTAAAAATTATCATTAAAATAACTTTTTTAAAAGTCTTTATTTTTAGAGAGAGAGGAAGGGAGATGGGAGAGAGAGAGAAACACTGATGTGAGAGCAGAACATTGATTAGCTGCCTCCTGCATGCCACCTACTGATCGAACCTGAAACCCTTCAGTGCATGGGACAATGCCCAACCACCTGAGCCACACTGGCCAGGGCTAAATTTGTTTTTATATGTACCTATGTTATAGCTCACTTATATGGAATAGAAATTAAATTAAACTTAGGAATAAAATTTAAAAAGCCAGTTTCCTATCAGATCTAAGATTTTCACTCTGGTTTTCCATTGACAAATTATATGACATTGAGCAACTCAGTTAGGGCCAAGAACCGCTGTCTTAAGTTATTCACCATTTAGTTTGCCAGTTTGCCTATGTGACCACTGACCTGCTAGACTCCAGAGGCTTAACTAATAAAAGCAAAACAAATAATAAACTCATGATCTGCAGAGGAAATACAAAATAATTCTTTAAACATAATTCTAGTCAAGAATGAAATGTGGCCTTAAAATTTGTAATGGTTAAGGAAGAAAATCCTGAGTCTAATTAGACACATCCCTTCATATGAAAAGATCTCAGTCAAGCTACGTTTGAAACAAGACAATCAGTTGGGGAAAGATCCTATAAAGTTAACTGATTATAGAGAGAAGGGGAGGCTCAAAAACAATTTGCCTTTGTCTTTTCTACCTATAACTATCGCTGCTGCCCTCAAGTTGGAAAGACCAGACAAAAATGAAAAGAAACTGAAGTCTGTGACAGTTTAAAAGGGGTCCTAGAATGCTACTTTATTTAAACATATTTAAGATTCTAGACCCAAATAAATTAAATCTCAAGACCCAAATAAATTAAACATCAAAATTTTAAATAGAAATAGAAAATAGAAAAATACTGCCCTGATTTTTAATTTTTTTTTAAGGGAACCTTCCAGCCCTGGCCAGTTTGGGTCAGCAATTAGAGCCTCAGCCTGCGGACAGAGGAGTTGCTGGTGTGTCTCAGCCCCTGCCAGGGCACATGGGGAAGGCAACCAATTGATGTGTCTCACATGGATGTTTCTCTCTCTCTCCCTCCACTCTTTCCCTTTCCCTCTTTTTTATTTTTATTATTATTTTTTAATATATATATATAATTTTTTTTAGTATTTGGACTTTTTTAAAAAAATATGTCTTATTGATTTCCTACAGAGAGGAAGGGAGAGGGATAGAGAGTTAGAAACATCGATGAGAGAGAAACATCGATCAGCCGCCTGCTGCATGCCCCCCACTGGGAATGTGCCCACAACCAAGGTACATGCCCTTGACCGGAATCGAACCCGGGACCCTTGAGTCCAGAGGCTGACGCTCTATCCACTGAGCCAAACTGGTTCTGGCCCCCTCTTTTTTTAAAAAAATCAATGGAAAAAATAACCTCAGGCTCTAGCTGGTTTGACTCGGTGGATAGAGTGTCAGCCTACGGACTGAGGGGTCCCAGGTTCAATTCCGGTCAGGGGTACATGCCCGGGTTGCGGGCTCGATCCCCAGTGGGGGGATGTGCAGGAGACAACCGATCAATGATTCTCTCTCCATCAGTGATGTTTCTATCTCTTTCTCCCTCTTCCTTCCTCTCTGAAATCAATAAAAATATATTAAAAAAAATAACCTCAGGTGAGGATTTAAAAAAATAATAATAAAAAAGGGAACATTCCAGAAAGTAGAGAATGGTCAGCTTACTATTGATCCCTAAACAATTCTAAAAGAGAGAATCAGGCCATGTGACTTTTAAATACTTATGATTTAAAAAGCCAACATGGACTAGTTTACCAAAAAAAAAAAAAGTGCAAATAAACCTAATCATACTTTTTGATAGGGTTGATAAAGTTTGATAATAATATAGAATGCTACAGCAGTGAATCCTGATTTCTCATAGTCTTATGAGTAAGAAAGAGAAACATAGGCAGGACAATGATAGGGGTAAATAAATTCACAACTGGTTAAACAGTTGTTTATGAAGAGTAATAAAAAGGTCTCTAGCAGTGAGCTTCAATAAAGTCTAGAAAGCTTATTTAAATATTTGCGCAAGATGAAAAGCTAGTAAGAAAATATAACATAAGAGTTTCAAAATTTGAAAGGATTATGATAAGCTAGGATAACAGGACACTTAAGAATGAACCAACTCCTGCATTTAAGCTTAAAATATAATTATCTAAATATAGGTGGAGAACAGTTTGTCGGGAGGCAATTTATATAAAAATAATCTATTTTAGTGATTTAGAGTGATTTACCTTTTTTAAAAGGTAATAAAACTTTATGCTGTATATAAGAAAGTCAGAATTCAGCTACTGAAATGGCCAGTTAAAGTGTTTTAAAACTGTGAACTTAGCTTTCTCTGAGAGTTTTTGATGAGCCTTTTAGACTCAAACTGCAATGACATCTCTAATATTTGTAAATGCAAATCATATGCAATAGTGTCAATCTACAACTCTCATAAACACTGAAAAGAAAAAAAGAATTCTGTATTGACAACTTTTTTTGTTACTTTACTATGTAGCTGAAAGGACAATCAACTTAATAACTTACTTTCTAAAGACACTTTTTGGTTTTTTGAAATTCTGTTCCCTACACGAGCACAAAACGTTTTCAGAAACTTCTCTTTAACTAGGACTTGAAAATTTTAATACAGGCATTACCTACTAAAAATAAAGACTAAATGTCAGAGTGTCAGATTTCCTCTTATACGATTCTATTGAGGAATTCTGCTGAGGAATCTATACTGAAATTAGTGGTTAAAGAAGAAAAGGTCAGCCCGGCTAATGTGGTTTAGTGGTTGAGCATCAACCCATGCACCAAGAAATTGCCAGTTTGATTCCCAGTCAAGGCATATGCCCCGGTTGAGGGCTTGATCCCCAGTGGGGGCCATGCAGGAGGCAGCTGACCAATGTTTCTCTCTCACCAGTGTTTTATTTCTTTCTCTCTGCCTCTTCCTTCTTCTCTCTAAAAATCAATAAAAACATTAAAAAAAAAGAAAAGGTCAGAAAAATATAGCCTAGTCTTATAAAATTTCTGATACGAATTTAGCGCTATTATGCATTTTAAAAACTGAACTGATACTGAAAGAAATAATTTTGACCCTTTTCAATACTCCACTTTAAAAGAAATCATCCAGGTAAAACAATTTTCTAGTTAAAAAAATAACAACAATCAGTTTGGTAGATTTCAATCTAATAATATACAAAGACATCCTAAGCTAAATTTTGTTAAAAGACTTGACTATCTAAGTATATTAAAAGTAAATAAACTAAAAGAAAAGAAAAAAGTAAATAAAGTATTAAGGGACTCATGAAATTTTATCCTACCTATAAAATACTAAAATTTACAACTTTTAATGCTTTTAGTGGGAATCTTTTTTCATATATTCTATCTACTCTTCTGTAAAATGAGTAGCAAGAGTAAATCTCTTTCTGGGAGCAAAATTATTAACAACAAAATTAAATTAAACGGATATACATACAGAATTGTACTGTCTTCTGGAACAAAGTCTTCATATGATGTAGATGGCAATGAACCTGATTTGTTTTCCTGTTCATTCTCGGTCAAAGATTTATGATCTACATTAAAAAAAACAACAACAAACAAACATGAGTAACAAGTACACCAATTTAAACATCATTCACAATAATATCTAAGTAATATCTTTATTAACTAGAGATATACTGAGCCTTTAAATCTGCAAACATATTAAGGTATCAAGATTGAGCCAAAAAGTTAAGTGTCAATATTTTTAAAAACATCAAGAAAATACGATAGGATGAAATAAAAGATAGGATAAAAGAGATTTCTAATGCAGAAAACTCTAGTTTGGCCTGAACTTTATTTGAATTTTAATCAACCTTTAAGGTGAACATCAAGTATCCTACTTTTGTTTGTATTATATAGAAAAAATAACATAAGGCTTTATTAAAAAGGCTACAAATAAAGAAGTTTATGTATCTTTTCTCATTATTTTACTATTGCCTATTTTATAAGGGGAATTGAGTAGGATATTTGGATACCTCTTTTTGTCTTTCCATTTGTCTTTTTATATTTCTCTTCGTCTCTCCTATATCTTTCTGCTTTTTTATTGTCTCTTTGTTTATTGTCTCTTTTTCTACTCATCTATTCTTACTCTGTAACATGATTATAATACAGACATAACTGTGTATTTAATGAAATAAATTAGTTTTCTGGTTCTTATTGTGAAAAATGGTATGTGGAATATTCTATAAGTTTGGTTTAAAGAGGTGTTTTTTTTTAAATGCACTTTTTCCTAGATAATGATGAACCTTAAGAAAAAAATGATTTCTCATCCTGCCTTGGATTATTAGCTTACCCTGTCCTTTAGTGCAAACCAGTCTTATAAAAAAGAAAAAAAAATTTAAGTCAATAAAAGATTAGATTATAATCCAAGGCCACTCCTTGGCCCATTGAAAAACAAAGATCCCTCTTTAATTATCTAGGTAAAGAAAGAAAGTTTAAAATCTGATAGTTGCAGTGAGTTATAATAACTGACTAAAAATAAATAAATTTTACAAATTAAGAATCTCTGATTTTAACAGCAAACTTCTTTGCATGAGTTAGTGTAAACCCACACTAACAAATATGAATAGACAAATGTATATAAGCATAGTTAGAAATAAGATTTACTGAAAAACATGGAGGTTTAAAATTAATCATTAGTTAAGGGGTAAAGGGGAAATAATAATTTCTCTCAAAAAAATATCTAATCCTTTGTATGGGGACACAGCAAATATTTACAGCTTATTATACACAAGCAAGGAAAATAAAGGTAATTTTTAGTGATTTGTGGAGCAAAGGCTGGGTCTGGGATGGCTTGTTTTGACCTCAACACCAAATCATTTTGTTTCTCCCATCTCAGTTTGTTTGTTTGTTTGTTTGTTTATTTATTTATTTATATTTTTAAAATATATTTTTACTGATATCAGAGAGGAAGGGAGAGGAAGAGAGAGATAGAAACATCAATAATGAGAGAGAATCATTGATCTGCTGCCTCCTGCACGCCCCCGACTGGGGATCAATTTTGTCCGGAATCAAACTGGGACCCTTCAGTCCACAGGCCGACGCTCTATCCACTGAGCCAACCAGCCAGGGCCCAGTCGCAGTATTTTTTTAAAATACTAACATGAAATTTTATTACTAGAAAGTTGTTAATCCTTTTATTTGCCATATATAACAAATCTATGGGCAAAAACTAAAAACACTTTCCCTAAAAACAGGAACACATAGGGTTGTCTGCTTTCATCGCTTTTATTCAACATAGTACTGGAAGTCCTAGCCACAGCAATCAGACAAGAAGAAAAAAAAGGCATCCAAATTGGAAAGAAGGATGTAAAATAGTCATTATTTGCAGATGACATGATATTATACATAGAAAACCCTAAAGACTCCACCAAAAAGTGTTTTTTGGCAATGCAGCAGAATAAAAATTATACCTAGAATTTGTTGGCATTTTTATACACCAATAATGAACTCTCAGAAAGAGAAATGAAAAAAAGAAATCCCATTTACCAGGGTAACAAAAAAATTAAGATACACAGGAATAAACTCAACCAAGGAGGTAAAAGACTTATACTCAGACAATTACAGAATGTTGAAAAAAAAGATACAAGAAGATATAAACAAGTGGAAGAATATACCATGTTCAAGGACTGGTAGAATTAGTATCATTAAAATTTACATGCTACCCAAACAATCTATAGATTCAATGCAATCCTTATTTAAATACCAACGGCATGTTTCATAGATCTAGAACAAACACTCCAAAAAAAGACCCTCACTAGCCGAAGCAATTTCTTGAGAAAAAAGAACAAAGTTGGAGGGATCACAATACCAGATAGCAAGCTATACTTTACAGCCACTGTAATCAAAACAACCTGATACTGGCACAAGAACAGGCATATAGATCAATGGAACGGAATAGAACCAGAAATCAACCCAAGCCATTATGCTCAATTAATATTTGGTAAAGGAGGGAGGCAAGAAAATACACTGGAGTAAAGATAGTCTCTTCAATAAATGGTGTTAGGATAACTGGACAGATACATGCAAAAAAAATGAAACTAGACCACCAACTTACACCATACACAAGAATAAACTCAAAATAGAAAAAAGATGTAAATGTGAGTCGTGAAACTGTAAAAATCCTTGTAGAAGACATAGGAAGCAAAATATAAGACATCACATGTAGCAAAATTTTCACTGATACAAAACCTAGGCCCTAGGGCAAGAGAAACAAAGGGGAAAATAAACAAATGGGACTACATCAAAATAAAAAGCTTCTGCACAGCAAAAGAAATCAGCATTAAAATGAAAAGGGAACCCACTGTATGAGAGAACATATTTGCCACTGATACATACATCTGATAAGGGGTTAATATCCAAAATGTCCGATTGATGAGGGTCAGTGGTTGAGCAACAAACCTAGGAACCAGGAAGTCCTGGTCAGGGCACAGGCCCGGGTTTTGGGCTTGATCCCCAGTAGGGAGTGTGCAGGAGGCAGCTGATCAATGATTCTCTCTCATCATTGATGTTTCTATCTCTCTCTCCTTCTCCCTTCCTCTCTGAAATCAATAAAAATATATATTAAAATAAAAACAAACAAAATATATATATATAAAGTACTCATGCAACTCAACGAGAGGAAGAAAAACAACCCAAACAAAAAAAATGTGCAGAAGACCTAAAATGACACTTATTTCTCTAAGAAGGACATACAAATGGCCAAGAGATACATGAAAAAAATGCTAAATGTCACTAATCATGAGAGATGCAAATTAAAACAACAATGAGGTACCACCTCACATCTGCCAAAATGACTACCATTAACAAATCAGCAAACAAGTACTGGTGAGGATGTGGAGAAAAGAAACCCTTAGTACACTGCTGGTGGAATTGTAGACTGGTACAGCCACTATGGAAAATAGTGTGTGCTTTCTCAAAAAATTAAATATGGAACTGCCGTGTGACCCAGTGATCCCACTTCTAGGAATATAACCTAAGAAGCTGGAAACACTCATTAGAAAGAATATACGCACCCCTATGTTCATAGCAAATTTATTTACAAAATCTAAGATCTGGAAATTGCTCAAGTGCCCATCAGTAGATGAATGGATAAAAATATAGTGGTACATTTACACAATGGAATACTATGCCGCTGTAAAAAAAGAAGGATCTCTTACCCTTTGAGAAAGCATGGAGGGACCTGAGAGCATTATGCTAAGTGAAATAAGTCAGTCAGAGAAAGACAAGTTTCACATGATCTCACTTATTGTTTTTTTAAATGTATTTTATTGATTTTTTTACAGAGAGGAAGGGAGAGGGATAGAGAGTTAGAAACATCGATGAGAGAGAAACATTGATCAGCTACCTCCTGCACACCCCCTACTGGGGATGTGCCCGCAACCAAGGCACATGCCCTTGAATGGAACTGAACCTGGGACCCTTCAGTCTGCAGGCCGATGCTCTATCCACCGGGCCAAACCAATTAGGGCCACATGATCTCACTTATATGTGAAATCTAATGAACAAAATAAACTGACAAACAAAACAGATCCAGAGACATGGAAGCATGCAACACACTGAGGATCTTTAGAGGAAAGGGAGAAATCAACCAAAGAAATTATATACATACTAGAGGCCTGTTGCACGAAAAGATTCGTGCAATAGGCTTTCCCTTCCCCTGGCTGACGGCACCGGTTTTCCTCTGGCACCCGGGACCCAGGCCTTCGCTCCGGTCGGAGCCACCTTCAAGCCTTCACTGCCCCGCCCGGCCGCCCCAGGTTGGGTCGCACACGGGATGCCCGGATGGCAGCCAGGTGGGCCAGCCGATTGCTGCTGCACCGCCCGGCCGCCCCGGATCAGGTCGCACGTGGGATGCCCGCCGCCCTGGGTCGCAGATAGCAGGCCTGGATGGTGGCAGGGCAGGCGGGATGGCGCTGTTCCACCCCACCGCCCCGGGTGGCAAATAGCAGGCCCGGATGGCAGCGGGGTAGGCAGGATGGCGCTCTCCCACCCTGCCTGCAGTATGCAAATTAGCCGCCATCTTTGTTGGTAGTTAATTTGCATATCGTGCTGATTAGCCAATGGGAGGCGTAGCGAAGGTATGGTCAATTACCATGTTTGTCTATTATTAGATAGGAGGATATGCATAACCCATGGACACAGACAACAGTGGGGTGAAGGCCTGGGGAGGGGTCAGGAGTGGGGAAGAGGGGAGTCAATAGGGAAAAGGAATGGGGACATCTGTAACAATAAAGATAAATTTTTAAAAAAATTTTAAATGTCAATTATATAACTCCCCACTTACTTAAAAACACTGCTCTACCACTGGCAAACACATACTTCTATATTAATAAGTTTATTTTAATAAGTTCATTGCAACTCAGATAAACTACTAAAAATATTCAATTACAATATTCAGCATCTCGACTGACAAAATTATTACTTTAAAAGAACCAAAACAAAACCCCAACTTCTTTTTTAATTAATCCCCACCCAAGAATATGCTATTTTTTAAAACTGATTTTAGAGAGAGAGGAAGAGAGATAGAGTGAGAGGAAGGAAAGGAGAGAGAGAGAGAGAGAGAGAGAGAAACATTTATCGGTTGCCTCCCATACACAACCCGACCAGGGATCGAACCTGCAATCTAGGTATGCACCCTGACCAGGAATGGAACCCACAACCTTTTGGTGTATGAAATGATGCTCCAGCCAACTGAGCCACCAGGGCCACTTACTTTCTTTTAATAGGAAATATATTGTCTCCGAAATAAAAAAAGAATTGTTTAAATTTGGTTATCTAACCACCTCCTGTATTTAAAAGCTTTTCTTCAAAACTACTATAGAAAAAAAAAAAAAGAAAAAGAAAACTACTATAATCCTTTAAGGGTGTGCTGATTCCAAGTGCAACTGAAGGATGCTGCAAAAGGCTGTTTTCAGACAGAATCTATTATTATAAAAATATATGTTAGCTACTGAAACTGAGAATACTTTTGAGCAACAAAAGATTTCTTTAAAATATACTGATGATGCTAGGCTATATTTTCAGAGATTTAAAACCTTAAGGCTCCAAATTACAGCAGTTAAAATTATAATTTATTGATAATATTTAGTAGTAACTTACATCTAATAAATGTGCTTCCCAAACACTTTAGCAAATCAGGGATGACTAAGATTTATAGGATATAAATAGAATATATTTATATATATTTACAGGATAGTGATTCTAATAAAGTAACTTTTAATATTTCTTTTTCTAGTCCTGGTATGTTATTTCTGGTTAACTGTAACATAAATTTGTTTAGAGTTTTGAAGACTGACAGCCATCTATCTATACCAGAATATTCCTTCCTAGTAGTGTTCTTCACACAAAGCTGGTTTTTGGTGGTTTAGAGTCTTAACATTTTATTTGCCCTTTTTATACAAAAAGCTTTTATGAAGAAGAGATACATTTGTTCATTCCTTCCCTAGAAGGCTTTGTAGAGTATGCATTTCCTTTATCTGGATGGTTAGGAATTTTCATTTAATAGAGAAACTAAACTGATTTATATAGTTTAATTAGCCTGACATAATTAGGTGGGCCTGCTTTAGATCAAGAAAATACCAGAAAATACTCTAGATTGGGATTAGAAATGTACATACCTTTTATCAATGTTAAATTGTTATTTATAGTTGCTTCATTCACTAGAATCATTGCTTGAATGTACTCTGTTAAGGAAAGGAAAAAAGAATGAAAGCTATCAGCAGCAGCATCACCTTTATTCAAGGTCCCAGCTACTGTGCAATTTACATATTTTATCTCATTTAATCTCCACAACTCCTCTGAGAGGTTCTTATGAGTATCTGTATTAGAGACAAAGGAATTGAAGCTTAGAGGTTAAGCTATTTATTATAGGTTATTTAGCTAGGAAGTGGTATTGGATTCAAATCTAGGTGTATCAGACTCATAAAGGAATGGGGAGGAATATGAACCAGTAATTTTATTGCTAGCTTTACCAAGTGGCCAGATAAATTTCTATTGAATGAATACAAAAAGCATTTTATATAAATGTTAAAGGCACGCTTTAAAATTAAATACCCATTGCATTTTGAAGTTATTTATTACATGTTCTTACAAGCTAACATCTTTTTAAAGTATGATACTTTGTAAAATACTGTGTAATATGAAGCGAGAATTCTCGTGTTAAAATTTTTCATTTTAACAGTACTAATTTTTTTGACAAGCACATAGTAAATTAATGTTATAAGAACACCCAAAAGTATTCAGAATAGTCTGAGGAAAAATATATAGTCTGGGGAAAATTTGCTTGAAAATCGTATGTCCTGATGGAATATGGAGGTTTCCACATAAAAGTCTTATGTTCTACAAACAACCAGAGTTGAAGAAAAATAAATAGAAAACAAAACCCTTGGATGACTGAATGAGTGCCTATGTAGAATGCATGTTTTGCTTTCAGAAGACTAGTAAGGCAAGTTCTGCTTAAAGGAGGCAAAATACAGTTATATGTATTTTTATATTAAAAAACAAACACTAGCTGTCACTGTATGATGGAATGGGTAAGTTTTGTTATGTTTTCTATATATACCAAATGTACAATAAGCAGACATTATGCCTGCCCCAAAGAAAAGATAAAAAGACAAAAAGAAAATGGGGGGAGGGGAGTATAACAGGTAGCCTGAGATAATGAGATAAATGCAGTAGCTATTATCTATAATAATAAAAGCATAATATGCTAATTAGACCAGACAGCCAAACGACCTTCCAGACGTCACTCCGGACATCCTTCCGGACGAAGCCATGGCAGCGGGGGCAGAGGCAGAGGAGGTTAGGGGCTATCAGGCAGGCAGGCAAGCAGTTAGGGGCGATCAGGCAGGCAGGCAAGTGGTTAGAAGCCAGCAGTCCCAGATTTCGAGAGGGATGTCCAACTGTCAGTTTAGGCCTGATCCCGCAGGGGGATTCCTGCAGGATCGGGCCTAAACTGGCAGTCGGATATCCCCTGTGGGGTCCCGGACTGCGAGATGGTGCAGGCCAGGCTGAGGGACCCCCTCCCATGCATGAATTTTGTGCATGGGGCCTCTAGTTTAAAATAAGCATCTTCCCCAGTTTTACAAAATAGCCATGGTATGGTAAAAAGCAAGTTTTTATAGAAGCAGAGCATAGAAACATACTAAAAAGCAAATAGAACTGATGTTAGGTTCTTAAAAAGAAAGAAATAATTTGAGTTTTAAAACAAACTACTGGAAATAGAACTATACTGTACGCCAATGGGTAACATTAAGCATTAAATGTACTAAGTTTTTATTGCTTTGTACCTTTATTTGTGGCAGACCCATCTTTGATCTTCTGCTTTAGTGACTGCAGCACATTTTGCACTTGCTCAAATATGATGTCCACTTTTCCATCATCCTCCAGTTCCATCCAGAAAGTTTTTGCATCCCCTAAATATAAATCAGTGAATAGTCTAAGACCTCAATAGAAATAAATTGTAGCCCTGGCTGGGTAGCTCAGTTCGTTAGAGTATTGTCCCGATATGTCAAGTTTGTGAGTTCAATCCCCAGTCAGGGCACAAACAAGTATCAATCAATGAATGCATAAATGGATGTTTCTCTCACTCCCTTCCTCTCTCTCTCTCAAATTAACAAATTTAAAAAAACTTAAAAATAGACTGTAATTTCCCCATGGCACATGTTATAAACAGTCTGTTTGGTTTATAAATAAAATCAAGTATTAATTATCTTTCACTTTCTTTGAGGAAGATGATTTTGGTAATTGTTTCTTAACAAAAATCTAGATACAAGGAATATGATCTAAGTATGTCACTTGTTTCTGCTACCTGGAAAAATATGATGATAACTTTGGTGACACTATTTCTTGACTGGAAAACAAAAGGAATGACTTCAAGGGTGGTAGTGGACATTCACAGACACATTCATTTAAAAACTTTAAAGAATATAACATCCAATGAGTATGGAGGTGGATGGCTTCAGAATGAAACATCTCGGCAATGGCTAAAATAATTAAATGTCCAACAATAATGCTTTTTAAAATGACTTTTATAGTACAGCTGGTATGGCTCAGTGGTTGAACATTGAACTATGAACCAGGAGGTTACGGTTCAATTCCTGGTCAGGATATATAGAAGGTTTCAGGCTTGATCCCCAGCAGGGGGTATGCAGGAGGCAGCCGATTAATGATTCCCTCTCATCATTCATGTTTCTATCTCTCCCTCTCCCTTCTTCTCTGAAATAAAATTTTAAAAAAGATTTAAAAATAAATAAAATGTCTTTTACATTACTTTAAAATAACATGAAACAAAATGTTTAAAAGTTTTTATAAAGTTATATAGATGATCCAAAATTTCATATGCCCAGCAACCTAACCCCTTAACAACTTCCTAGAGAAATAATCCTTTCAAAGTTAAAAACAAGAATATGAGAAAGGCAATTAAAATAAATTGGCAGAAGCAAAATCTCATTTAAACCAGGTTTACAAGTAACAAAAATATCTTAAAATGTATTTGTAAAATGTTAAAATTAATTAATGAAGACTTAAGGAAAAGAGGAACAAAATAATTGCACTTCAGAAAGGTCGCTTGAGAAGCTATGATGATTAATGAAAGCCCAGTAAGTTTACAAAAAGCCACAGTTTCCTTAATAAAAATTAAATCTAGAACCTATAAGTTTGGCCATGGAGTGAGACTCTTCATAAGAAGCTTAGGCCTCAGAGTTCTAACCCTTACTGGCAAAGTCACCTTACCAATAAAAGACGTCTGGCTAATTGGGACTGCCTCCACAGAAGCCTCAAGAGGGGTGCTGTTTCTGTGTTAACATTTTGCCCTGATGTGTACTACCCAAGACTGCCCAGCTTTAATTCCCATTGGTACAACTCAGACAATGCTTCAACATTTAAAACAATGTGAGGACAAAAGGGATGAGAAATGATGCTGTAGAAGCATGCAGGAGCCATAACATGGAGGGCCTTGTGTACAATGCTAAGCAACTTCATTTTTATACAGAAGGCTACAGAGAGCCACTCAAGAGGTTTAAGCATCTTATAATGTGATTAGATTTGTTTCTTATAACACTCATGTGGCAGAGAAAAGAGGGAAGAGTCAAGAATGATTTCTAAGTTTCTGACTCAGGCAACCATATGTATACTAATGGTATGCATTGAGATAGGGAATCAAGGTAGAGGCACACATCAGAAATTCAAATAGGGCGAGTAAAATGGATACACAGGCTTCAGAGTAAGATCTGCTCCATATATACAAACTTTGGAGTCAATATCATACAACTGCTTGCTGAAGCACAGAGTAGATGATTAAGAAGAATGTATAGGGAATGAGAAGAGGATCTTCTGTAGAACATCAACATGTAAGGGATGAGTACAAGAAAAGGAATCATGGAGACTGAGGAGCAAGGAGATGAAAGAACAGGAGTGATTAACAGTCTGTGCTTTGGAATTCAGATGTATGTGGGTTTGAATCCCAGCACAGCCACTTAATTAGATGTGTGACTACATCTATAAAATGGGAATAATAGCATCTACCTCAGAGTTGATGTACACAGATAAACACATGACAGCAAGAAATTACTGTATATAATTTAACAGGGAATACAGTCTTAGACAAAAGAAATTAATCTTTAAATGTGGAATTTTAGAAATCATTCACTAAGTGGAGAAAATATTTTCTGAAGCAGGGCGTTCTCAGAATCCTTAAAATCATTAAGTTTTTACTGAAAGATAACCAACAAAAATCATTGCTTTTAGGCAAAACTATTTGTAAAAGCACTTAACTGATTATTGTTACCATGTTTCTTTTCATGGATAGGACTCAAAACTTCATATTAGGGATTTATCTCTATTGAGGTGGACATTTAAAAGAAGGGTTTTGAAGGGTATTTACAAAGAGCTTTCTGTAGCATAATAATCCTCTGGCTTGAGAAAAAAAGCAGTGCTGCTGAAAGACAGCAATCAGGACTTACATGAATTTTTGTTTTTCAGTGACTATCATTTAAAGCTGTTAGAAATGGCAATACATGATACCAAATTATTCTGACAGGAAGCATGTACAACAAATTACTTAAAAAATGAACAGGGCAGCGCTAGTCGGTCTGCTCACTGGTTAGAGCATTGGCCCGAAGACTGAAGGGTCTTGGGTTCAAAACCGAGGGCACACACCTCGGTTGCAGGCTCAATCCTGGATGAGGCACATGCAGAAGGCAACCAATCGATGTGTCTCTCTCTGTTTCTTCCCCTTCCTTCCACTCTCTCTATAAATCAATAGAAAAATATCCTTGGGTGAGGATTAACAAAAACAAAACAAAACAAAGTGAACAGGGTAAATGCTTAGTCTTGGAATAGATTAATAAAGAGGACACTGACAATATAAGAAAATAAAGCCAATCAGAAAATACGGAAACTATTTGCTTGCAGAATAAATAAATGTAACTAAGCAATTCATATTTATTTGTTCTAGGTTTTTAATATATTGATCCTATGATATCCTTATTATCTCAAACTGCTAAGTTTATTTCTCATATTTCAATGGCTCTTGCTCCTCACTCTTCTTGATCATTTTTCTTCATCTTCTTACTGCGAAAAATTTAACCACAGTAATATTAAGTAAGAAAAGAGGTAACCAACCTCTCTGATAAATGAGATTAAGAGATTCAGTTAATAACTTTTTTGAACAGAGACTAAATGAGTATCATACGAAGAAACATCTGACTGACTTCCATTTCAACGGCAGACTGTATGGTTACTACAATGTAAACAATTTTAGTCTCTTGCTCCTTATTTGTGCATTGTATGCATGCTGAGGGTTATCATCTAAAACAAATATTTCAGTATATTTCGCTAGAAGACAGTTACAAGGAATACAGGAGCAGGTACTTGAATTGAAAATCAAATTAGTATACTAACATTGCTGCTACTTGCCTCCAGAAATGAAGGCTGGTATGGCTCAGTTGGTTGAGCATTGTCCCAAGTACCGAGAGGTCGCTGATCGATGGTCAGGGCACATGCCCAGGTTTTGGTCAGTGACATGCGAAGGCAACAGATCTCTCTCTCTCTCTCTCTCTCTCTCTCTCTCTCTCTCTCTCTCTCTCTCTCTCTCTCCCTCCCTCCCTTGCTCTCTCTAAAATCAATAAAAATATATTTTAAAAAAACATATCCACAATTATCAAAAGGCTATTTTTATTAAAATATTCTTCCTTTTTCCAATTTCTTGTCTGTGTGAAGCTTCATTTTCTTTACACATTTTAGCCAAAGCGATATATTTGAATAGACTGAATGCAATAGATATGAGAATCTCTCTTCTAGTAAGCCATCTATTAAAAATTTATAAAAGTGAAAAACAATGGTTTCACTAATTTTTGTTTTTAAAATGCTTATTTTTCACAAAAATATAATTCATGTTAACATGCTTATTATTTTTAAATGAGCCAATTAACTTTTTAATTTTAATCCTCATCCAAAGATATGTTTTTTAAATTGAGTTTAGAAAGAGAGGAAGGGAGAAAGAGAAACATTGATGTGACAGAAACATAAATCGTTTGTCATCTATACGTGCCCTAACCTGGGATCGAACCTGAAACTTAGGTATGTGCCCTGACTTAGAATTGAACCCACAACCTTTTTGGTATATGGGACAATGTTCCAACCAACTGAGCCACCTGGGAAGAACTAAATTAACATTTTGAAACATCTCGGTTTCAATTTCTAATACAGTAAATATGAACACGTATTATTCACATAAACAAAAGCTGTTTAGGGTTTTAAATACTTTTAAGAGTATACAGTAGTCCTGAGAGCAAAAGAAAGTTTAAGAACTACTGTGCTAGATAATGGCCCAGTGAAATCATACTATATATTCTACATAAAAATTCATATGTAAAGGGCATTAAAACAATTCTATATAACACTGTAGTAGTACATAAATGACACTATGCATTTGTCAAAACCCAAAGAACTTTAAAGCACAAAGAGTAAACTTGAATGTATGCAAATTTTAAAATATCATTTAAGAGGTTAGGGATCCCTGAAAGGAATGTATGTAGACTGTGACAAGAGAATCTAATTGTATTAAAAATGTATAGACAATTTCCCTGAAGAGCTGGGTGGAAAAGGTATTGACCTAAATAACTGGAAATAAGTGAAGTCTAAGAGTAACAGTAACTGTGCACAGCACTGCTGTTTCCCACCTGGGAATAAATTTACATTTCTGATACTACTATACATACTAGTATACAGGCATACCTTGTTTTCTTGTGCTATGCTTTATTGTACTTCACAGATGTTGCATTTTATACAAATCAAAGGCAAGACCCTCCACCAGCAAAAATATTACAATTTGCTTTGATATTTTTTTGTGGCGGTCTGGAACCCAATCCCCAATATCTACAAAGTATGCCTGTCTACTGAAATTGAGCAATTACGTAAATGGATCAGATGGTCAGAGCCACATTTCTCAATGTTGGAATGGAAGTTTACAGATAAGCAAGGAGTAGGCTAGAATGATCCACATAGTAATGGATTAGAGTTGGACAAATCAATACAGTCACATTTAGCTTAATATAGACTCACATGGTTACATATAGAAACACATATAGATATGTACATACATATCTTTCCATGCTCTGTCACTGAGAGGGCCTAAACCAATGGAACTCCAGTACAAAGAGCATACCTATTGACCATATCTGGGTTTCTAATACAATTTTCCAATGAAAGGAAACAAAGCATATTCAAGAAATGGCTGATTCTAGGACTGGGACAGGAAATATATGTGAGCCTGGAGCATCTTCTAATACCATAAAATAAAGAAGTACTAAAAAACAAACAAAGTGAAACAAAACCCACCTACATTAATGGGAGTATGTTAAGGGGACACAGAGCCAACTGAAAAGAGCTCCCAATGGCAAATCCTGGGACAATTTAAGTAACAAAATAAAGCAATACTAGATTATAACCCAAAGTATAAAATAAGTATCCATTAATATATAAATAAATGACTGAATAAATACAAAGGTGGGGGAAAGGAGACAAATCTCCCATATAGAACAATTCCAAATAATTAATGTAAATATTCTGTTCTGAAAGAAGAGGAGCATAAAATCCCCATGGATTAAATGTGGGCTGCACATAGTGACTATCCTGTCAAAGAGTACAGTAAGGAAAGGGAGATTTTTTTAAAAAGTCATTTACAGTAGAGAAATAACACTGTCAGCCAGGTGATCAAGCTCAGTATCAATAAGTGAGAAATCATGTTGATAAATATACCCTTGATATGATATGGTAAAATGGCGCTTTACATCCCACAACCTTCTAACCCTACTCACATGAGGAAAAAAAGCAGTCAACAATTCCAATAGAGGAGCATCCTAAAAAATACCTGGATACAAAATCAAAACCAAAGGAAGTCTGAGGAATGTCACATCTAAGAGGATCCTAAGAAGATATGACAAGATAATGTAATGTGGTATCCTGGATGGGATCATGGAACAGAAAAAGACGTCAGGCAAAAACTAAGGAAATAGGAATAAACCATGGACTTTAGTTCATAATAATGTGTCACTTCTGGTTCATTAATTGTAACAAATGTACCAGCCAAATGTAAGACATTAATCATAGGCAAAACTGGCTGCAGGAATATGGGACTCTCTGTACTATCCTCTCAATTTTTCTGTAAATCCAAATGTTTTCTAAAAAACAAATATTTTTTAAAGTAACTTAAAGTGCTGACTTAGCATTATAAATACATAATTATAAAGAGAGCTAAAAATGTTGGCTAGGTCATAATAAACCCTTAATTCCTCCGAATTTAGAACAGGCAATTGCAATTAAACACCTTGAAAATTCCACAATTCAGCTTCATTAAGTAATCTACATACTTTTAAACAAAGTTTAACAATGGTTTTTCAACCTACCATTTTTTTCTCCCATCTTTTGGCGTCGTTTATAAAGATAAAACTCTTCAAAATTAATTTTATCAAAGGATTGAATCACTTTGATTGGAGAATGTAACTGGAATCCAACTGTAGTCTCTATGAAATTTGCAGTCCTCAGAGAAAATACATCATTGTGGCATTCTAAACCCAGAATTCTTTGATACTTGAATGTTCAAATAGAAATTTTGGTTGAAGAAACTTTCAGAAATGACTAGTCCAACATAATGACATGTCCACGAATCTTCAATCAAATATTTATAGTTGTATCAGATCACTGACAATACCTTTATAAAAATAAAAATCAACTCCATCTTTTGGTTCATAAATGCATAAAACATTCTGTAAAGAAAACAATAAAAAAGTTGCATGTTTGTAAAGAATAAAATATGTAAGAAGAGAATGTCATATACTAATAGCTCTATCTTTTAAAACACCATGAACTATTATGAAAACACTATTAACCAGAAAAGTGTATAAAATATCAAAATTACGAAAATTACAGAGAAATTCAGAATTGCCAGTATCTAATATATTTTTAATTGACATAAACTATCCCCACTTTATAAATTTTGATACTTCATAAAAACTTTTAGGATGGATATAATAATGCTAACTACCCTCCTAGGGTTGCAGTGAGAATAAAACTTAATTACTTAGAATAGTCCCTGAAACATACAAAGGACAAAATAAATGCTAGCAATAATGATTGCTTTTTCAGTAAATATATTTTAAAAACAAAATTTGGATTTTAGTATATATAATTTTTTATAATCTTTCATTGAAAACATATTATACACTTTCCCCTAGTCGTTAATATTTTTCTACAATATGACTTTTAAGTGACTATATAATGAATGTGCTTTGGTCAGTAATACATATATTAAAATACACTAAAAAAATTTAATAACTAAAATTTAATAAGTTATTAATTAGTACTATAAATAAACCTCTATATTGAACATTTAGATTGTTTCTATTTTTTCAGTAATAATTAATGCTGGAATCTGCTTTATGCATATCTATGTTTATTTCCTTAAGATATGCAGCTAGAGGTGGAACTAAGAGTCAAAAAGATATCAATAATTTTCAACCTCAAGATGTTAGTCAACATATGATAAATTCTTCTCCCAATCCCAAATGCAGAGAAATATTAAAATATTTTTAAAAATTTAAAAAGATGTAATCATGCTGAGAACAAAAAGGGAATTCTCGATGGACCAAGTCTGTGAGACCTCTCTGGGAAAAGAAAACAGAAGAGAAGCTGTAGAGATAATGCCAACTACTATCATAACATAGTAAAAGGAAGAGCAAAATCTCTCAGAGGAGATCAGGACACAACCAAGAGTCATTAAACATCTGAGGAAAGCTACATGATGACAGAGACTTAACAAGCCCACAAACGGATGGACTTAAATTCAAGAGAATAGAGCATCCTGAAAATAATTTAAAAACAAATGTTATTGTTTTTAATATCCTCAAAGAGCACAAGAAGGAAACCTCAAGAAGTGAGGATATTTTTCCCACTGATTTTAGAGAGAGTAGAAAAGAGGGTGGTAGAGGGAGGGTGAAGAGAGAAAGAGAAATATTGATGTGTCCCTGTCACATCAATTGGTTGCCTTCCAAACATGCCCTGCCTGACTCGGAGCAGGGATGGGATCTGCAACCCAGGTAAGTGCCCCTGACTAGGAACAGAACCCACAACCCTCCTGGTGCCACCCCAACCCTCTAACCACTGAACCATGCTGGCCAGGGCCAAATACATACAACTTTTAAAATACCCAATTAGATTTCTTGAATGTAAAAACAGTTGTTGAATAAACTCAACAGATGACTGAATAATAGCACAGACTCAGATGAAGAGCCATTTAGTAAGCTGGAAGATTGACTTAAGCAAAGCACTCAAAACACAGAGCAAATAAACAATAAGTGGAGGAATAAAATAGGGATAATGAAGAGGCAATAAAGACCAAGAATTTCTCAGAACTGTAAAACACGCAAGCCCACTAAGGGCTCCTTGAGTACCAATCAGGATAAAATTTTGAATGTACACTGCTAAACAAACTGTGGATAAACTTCAGAATATCAAGAATAAAAACATGCCCCGCCGGCGTGCTCAGTGGTTGATTCCCAGGTCAAGGCACATGCCTGGGTTGCAGGCTCAATCTCCAGAAGGGGGCATGCAGGAGGCAGCCGATTGCTGGGAGCCAGTCCATCCTTGCTGTTTCAAGGGACCTGGCATATATGGCATACTGTTCTTAATATGTTTGCTCACCTTCTTGGCACTATGTGTTTTAACCAAGGTCACCTCTCTGAGAAAGGTTGTTTCCCCAGGTAGGGATTTTCCCCTGAAGTTAGGGAGGGAATAAAACCCCTCAACTAAGTGCCAGGCGGGTAATTAATCACTTTAACTATGAACAATCATGCTTAAGCTACATAATCTTTACTCCCTGGAATGGAGATAAGAAACGCCCTAACCTTTGGACTAGAGATTGATAGGATTGGAATCAACTGGTATAAATACAGATGTAACAAGACAAGATACAGAACCTAGACACAGAACCTACACAGAAACTAGAGACAGAAGAACTTCGCTGGAGAGAACATGGCAAAAGATCCTGGACAGAAACTGGCAACAGAACCTAGAGACAGAACCTAGTGAGAGAACATGGCAAAAGATCCTGGACAGAAACTGGCCACAGAACCTAGAGACAGAACCTAGTGAGAGAACCTGGCTGAAGAACCTAGAGACAGAACCTGGCTACAGAACCTGGCTAGAACATGGCAAGAGAACCTGACTAGAACCTGGTGACTGAACCTGGCTAGAGAACCTGGACAGAACCTGGCTGGAGAACCTAGCGAGGGAACATGGCTACAGAACCTGGCTGGAGAACCTGGAGAACCTGGCTGGAGAACCTAGCAAGAGAACATGGACACAGAACCTGGCTGGAGATCCTGAACAGAACTTGGCTGGAGATCCTGGCTAGAGATCCTGGCTAGGCTGCTGATCAACTGAACGCTGTCTCCGTGTCATTCCTTCTTCGCTGACTCCGTCCACACCTTTGGGGACCCCTGGACCTGCTGGGGCTGGACCCCAGCAGCCGATCAATGATTCTCTCTCATCATTTTAAAAATAAATAAATAAATAAATAAACAAACAAACAAACAAACAAAACAGGTATAACTAAGAAAACTTAGAGCTAACCTCAATTTAAAAAGAGAAATAAAAAAATAAGAAATAAAAGATATAAAGAGAAGCATGGTAAATAAGCTGACAAGGAAAAGTCCAAATATGTTAATAATCAAGTGAATGTGTTAACCTTACTATTAAAAAGGCAGACTCTCAGATTGGATCCAAGCATGACCTAGCTATGGTATTTTTATTTTTATTATTTTTAAAAAAATACTTTTATTGATTTCAGAGAGGAAGGGAGAGGGAGAGATAGAAATGATGAGAGAGAATCAGCTGCCTTCTGCTTGCCCCCTACGAGAGATCGAGCCTCCAACCTAGGCATGTGCCCTGACCAGGTATCGAACCTGACCTCCTGATTCATAGATCGACACTGGTAGATGCTCAATGACTGAGCGACACTGGCTGGGCAAGCTATGGTATTTTCAAATAAAGAGACCCACTTAAATCATACAAAATATCACTGAAAGGTTGAATGGAGGGAATGTGAAAAAAAGACATACCAGCAAAAATAAAAAAACACATCAAACAAAATAGTATTTAATATGAAACAAAAGAGACAAGGAAATATTTTACACTGACAGAACAATTCACCATGACTATGTAATTGAAATTGATTTAATACAAAGTAAGCTCAAGAAGTAAAAATCCCAATTAAGGAATAACTATAAAAAAGAAATTTTAAAAGAATAACTGAAGATCTTAGCAGAGCTGCATGCCACACATCCTCACCTCTCATTCCCAGCATACTATGTCCATAAAGTTTCCTAGATGAATTCCATACAACTTTCAAGGAACATATAATTTTTATAGTATACAAAAATTCCAGAGCAGGAAAAATAGGGGAAGCCATCAAACTTTTTTTTAGATTAGTACTAGTATAACCTTGACATGTAAAAAAAGAAACTCAAGGCCAAAATCACTTATGGACATAGAAGCAAAAACAGTAAGTAAAAGCATGCATCAGTAGACTAAAGTATGTCATTCGTGTAGGGTTCATCCCAGGAATACCCAGAAAGTTCAACATTGGAAAGTTTCTAAATGTAAATTTTTATATTAACAGATAAATGGAGGAAAACTCATCTCAGATGCAGAAAAACAAAATTTAAAAATTCAATGAAAATTGACAACTATTGAAGGGAAGAAGGCAAACTGTTAGCGAACTAATAATAAAAAAGAACTCTTTAATCTGATAAAGACGATTCTACTAAAATCTTGCATACTCAATAATGAAACTTCAGAGGCATTTTCACTAAAGTCGGGCACAGGATGAGGATACTTGCCACAGCTGCCCTTATTCAGCATTGTACTGAAAGTCTTAGAAAAAGGCAGTAAAATAAAAAGAAACCTAAAAAAGCTTGTAAAGAAGAAAAAAAATCTGCAAATAAACAAAAACAAAATAAAGTTAAAAGCCAAGCAAAGGGTTGGGAGAAAATGTAACATATTTTCACAATAGTAACAAAAAAAGGATATAGCCATTAGACACTGAAAAAATTTTTAAAAATTATACAGGATACACAGCATCCAGGACACATAAAGAACTCCTTCAATCATTAAGAAAAAGATGACTAAATATAAAATGGGTACTCTATTAAAGAAATCATATAAATTTACATAAGTTGTAAGTCAATAAACATGAGTAGATACTGCAACCTTATTAATAATCAGAGAATGAGATCTTTAACAAACAAGTAAAATTTTATCCATCAGATGGGCAAAAAGTAAGATAATATCTCGTGTTGGTCTAGATCAGTGATTTTCAACCTTTTACATCTCATGGCACACAAACTAATTACTAAACTTCTGCTCCACACCAAAACATACATTTTTTGCCAATCTGACAAAAAACAAAAAACAGGTATAATTTTGATTCATTCGCAAAAGATGGCTATTGTTGTATTGGTTGTTGTCATTTTTTTATTTGTCTATCTAGGGGAAAAGAGGTCAGTGCCCCTGATTAAAAGGTATTTCATATTTTAAAAATTCTTGCAGCACACGAATTGAAAATTGCTGGTCTAGATTATAAGGAAACTGAATTCTAAAAACCTACTTATGAGATGTGTAAATTAGTAGAAATATTTTGAAGACAAATTTGGCAAGACCTATTAATATTAAAAATGTTCATAATTTAAAACCAAGCAATTCCACTTTTAGGTATATATCTGGAGAAATACCACATGTACACAAGAAAATACATACTAGGGTTTTTCTGCAGCATTATCAGGTGAAAAATTGGAAACAACCTAAAGTTCATCAAAAGGAGAATGACAGCCCTAGCTGGTTTGGCTCAGTGGATAGGGTGTCAACCTGCAGACTGAAAGGTCCCAGGTTTGATTCCGGCCAAGGGCACGTGTTCGGGTTGTGGGCTCGATCCCCAGTAGGGGGCGTGCAGGAGGCAGCCGATCAATGATTCTCTCTCATCATTGATGTTTCTATCTCTCTCTCCCTCTCCCTTCCTCTCTGAAATCAATAAAGAAATATATTTTTTTTAAAAAGGAGAATGACAAATAAAATGTGCTATACAGTAACACATAAAACAAAATAGATTTTAATATGGAAACCAATAATAAGAGAAAAAGATAAATAATTTACATTAACAAAACAGAAAACCAAGATGGTGGCATAGGTAAACACTGGAGATTGCTGCCTTGCAAAACCACTTCAAAAATACAACTAAAAGATGGAACGGACATCACCCAGAACCACAGGAAGGCTGGCTGAGGGGAAATTCTACAACTAGAAGGAAAGAGAAAAGCATACCAAGACTCAGAGGAGGCGCGGGGTGGAAGTAAAATACAAAGGTGCGGAGGTACGTGTGGAGCGGGCTGGCGGCTGAGGGCGCGGTTGCCTGTTTCAATCAGGAGGGAGTCTCAAGCTCTGAGCTCCAGTTCCGGGAGAGTCTCTGGGGTCCCAGACTCATACGGGAGAAGTGGGACTGTCTGGCATCGGTAGGAACTTGAGGGCAGCTTTCTCTCCAAGGTACTTGCAGCGGTTGCTGGGACACTGAGAGGCAGAGCCTCTGGGGATGGGACTGAGAGCAGCCATAACTGCTCGCTCCACCAGCCCTGTTGATCCCCTGGGACCTGCCCCGCCCAAGCCCTGCACAGAGGCATTTGCCCGATAGCCTCAGGCAAAGGCCAGATTAGCACCTCCCTAGAGGACAGAAATTCTCCCACTGCAGACACAGCTGATTCTCACTGCCAGTTGGCATGGAGGTCAAATCCCCCCAAGTATTACCTACAACAATCAAGGCTTAACTACAATAAGACTGCGCACAAAGACCACTTGGGGGTGCACCAAGAAAGCATAAAAAAATGCGGAGACAAAGAAACAGGACACAAATGTCAGAAATGGAGGATATAGAGCTCAAAACCACACTTTTAAGGTCTCTCAAGAACTGTCTAGAAGCCGCCGATAAATTTAGTAAGGCCCTTGAAAAGACTGGTCAGACTGCCGATAAATACAGTGAGATCCTCAAGAAATCTAATGAGACCCTCGATGTTGTGATAAAGGACCAACTAGAAATTAAGCATACACTGACTTAAATAAAGAATATTATACAGACTCCCGACAGCAGACCAGAGGAGCGCAAGAATCAAGTCAAAGATTTGAAATGCGAAGAAGCAAAAAACACCCAACCAGAAAAGCAAAATGAAAAAAGAATCCGAAAATACGAAGATAGTGTAAGGAACCTCTGGGAAAGCTTCAAGCGTACCAACATCCGAATTATAGCGGTGCCAGAAGATGAGAGAGAGCAAGATACTGAAAACCTATTTGAAGAAATAATGACAGAAAACTTCCCCTACCTGGTGAAAGAATTAGACTTACAAGTCCAGGAAGTGCAGAGAACCCCAAACAAAAGGAATCCAAAGAGGACCACACCAAGACACATCATAATTAAAATGCCAAGAGCAAAAGACAAAGAGAGAATCTTAAAAGCAGCAAGAGAAAGAAACTCAGTTACCTACAAGGGAATACCCATACGACTATCAGCTGATTTCTCAACAGAAACTTTGCAGGCCAGAAGGGAGTGGCAAGAAATATTCAAAGTGATGAATACCAAGAACCTACAACCAAGGTTACTTTATCCAGCAAAGCTATCATTCAGAATTGAAGGTCAGATAAAGAGCTTCACAGATAAGAAAAAGCTAAAGGAGTTCATCACCACCAAACCAGTATTATATGAAATGCTGAAAGGTATCCTTTAAGAAGAGGAAGAAGAAGAAAAAGGTAAAGATACAAATTATGAACAACAAATACGCATCTATCAACAAGTGAATCTAAGAATCAAGTGAATAAATAATCTGATGAACAGAATGAACTGGTGATTATAATAGAATCAGGGACATAGAAAGGGAATGGACTGACTATTCTTGGGGGGGAAAGGGGTGTGGGGGATGCGGGTAGAGACTGGACAAAAATCGTGCACCTATGGATGAGGACAGTGGGTGGGGATTGAGGGTGGAAGGTGGGGCGGGAACTGGGAGGAGGGGAGTTATGGGGGGAAAAAAGAGGAACAAATGTAATAATCTGAACAATAAAGATTTAATTAAAAAAAAAAAGAAAGAATCCAAAAAGGTGATCTAGGGTTTTTCACCACACTCCTGGCGAAAAAAACGAAGGTCTGCTGCTGGAGGGCTAAGAAATGTAATATCCTGCCCTAGCTGGTTTGGCTCAGTGGATAATGCCTTGGCCTGCCGATGGCAGGGTCTGAGTTCAATTGTGACCAAGGGCATGTACCTAGGTTGCAGGCTCCTCCGTGGCCGGGGCCCAGGTGAGAGCTCATGCAGCAGGCAACCAATCAAAGTGTTCCTCTCACTTCGATGTTTCTCTGTCTTTCCCTTTCTCTTCCACATTCTCTAAAAATCAATGGAAACATATCCTCAGGTGAGGATTAAAAAAATAATAAAGAAATTATTTTTATATGAAAGACACATCTTGAAAAAAAACAACAACAAACAAAAAAAAACAACAGAAGAAAAAAACAATTATTATACACTGGAACACTAAAAGAAATGAGCTATACATAACATAATGCGCTACAAATAACATTTATACACTGCAAAAACATTGTCAAGTGAAGAGTTATAGAATTCCATAGTATACTATTTCCTTTTTTAAAAATTATAAATGCATACATGCACCTATTGAGACTATGTTAAGTATGAAAAAAAGGACTTGAAGGCTCTGCACCAGTCTTTGCTGGAGGGGGGTGGAGGCGGGCGGGAATTCAGGGACTGTAGATTGTTCTCTTTATCCATCTGTAAAGTTCTAATTTTGTAAAAGAAAATGTAGTGTACTTAATTTAAAAAGTATATAGTTTTGAAAAGGGACTGTCCATTTTAAAGCTTTCTGCAGCATATTGCCAAACTGCTTTCTAGAAAGGTCCTACCAATTTATACGTCCACCTACAGCATATAAGCACACTCGGTAATAGGTTCTTTTTAAAAAGCTCTCACCAGTGTTCATAACTTCTAAAAATTTAAAAATAACTGAACTTATGCCCAGCCTGTGTGGCTCAGTGGTTGAGCATCGACTTCTGAAACAGGTCACAGTTTGATTCCTAGTCAGGGTACATGCCTGGGTTTTGGGCTTGATCCCAGTGGGGGGTGTGCAGGAAGCAGCCAATCAATGATTCTCATCATTGATATTTCTATGTCTCTCTCCCTTTCCCTTCCTCTGAACTAAAAATTAAAAAAAATCAATAAAGATTTTAAAAAATAACTGAACTTTCAAAGGTAACACATGTTTAGTAGAGAAAATTTGCAAAACATAGTAAAGCATAAAGAGAAAACTTTAGTGTGGCTGGTGTTGTTCAGTGGTTAGAGCCCCGACCCATGAACCAGGTCATGGTTAGATTCCAGGTTGGCAAATGCCTAGGTTTCCGCAGCGTGCAGGAAGCCTTGAATGGATGATTCTCTCTCATCCTTGATGTTTTTATCTCTCCCTTCCTCTCTCTGAAATCAATAAAAACATATTTTCTTAAAAAAGAAAATTTAAATCATTCACAGTTTCACCATCCAGAGACAACCAGTGTTAATATTTTGGAGTATAAGAGGGATTTTAAAATTTGTTGATATATTTCTGCTTTTCGCTTTTCCATTTTGGCAGAAAAGTAGTTCCACTTCAATTTACGGTTCCTTCTTTTTAAAAATAGGGTCTTATGAAACTGTGACCATTTCCTGTGTTCCTTGTTTTAATTATATAACACAAATTAACAAAACCTGTGTATAAGTCATGTATCAGGCACACTACTTCCCTTGTTTTTATTCTGCATAACAATCAGATAGATTAGCATGTCGGTTTTTCTAGTGAAAGTGGCAGAAACAAAATAAAAGGAACCAGGTGGTATGGTTTCAGAGTTCGCTTTTTTTTTTTTTATTCCATCTACCGCCTCAGTTACCCCTTTCCTTAGCCTCATTCATCAAAACATACAGAACTTACTGCAGGTTTCCACAAGCCGAAGAGCACCGTTAATCCCAACTGTTCCTTATTTTCATCACTCACTGATTAACTACTTACTCACTGGGTTGTGGTTAATGAGTCAGGTGCTCCTACGATCGGATCTTAACCGCGTGAAACTGGATAAATGATTTTACTTACTTAGGGCTTGTGTAGTCTTACCTGTGAAATGGGTCAGTGGTTAAACGTTCAAGTTCTGCTTCTGGGTTTTTACACTGCAGTCCATTTCCTGCAGCCCTTTTACAGCCTCGGGTCCTGGCTGCTTAGGAATCACCTCACATGAAGGTGTAAACCGCAAGATCTAGACTGAAATGGGGTTGGGGACTTGGTGCGTCCCAACTCCCCGCTCCGGCCCGGGACAGGACGGCACGTGGGTGAAGGAAGGGAGGTGGCAAGGGCTCCCCGGCGTTCCGTTCCCAGGTCCTGGGCCACAGGACCCGTCAGTGAGCCACCCCCGGCCGTGCCTCGCCTACACGGGCGCCACTGCGTTTTCCTTGCCGCCCGCCAGACCTGAAGGCAGCACTCCGCACGCGAGGCTGGGTTCACCGCAGGTCGGGACCCTCTCCGACTCCACTCCACCAAGATCGCACGGCCCCAGGTGCCCCCTGGCCGGGAAGTACTTCACCATTTACTAGCTCGCACCGCGGCCGGAGGAAGGACCGCCCCTCCGGGAACATCTGGCCTACCACACGCGAACCTGAAGGGGAGGAGTCGGACACCTCCCGGTCCGCGGCCCTGTGCTCGCACCGCGCACTGCGGCCACGCCTCCGACAGCCGCGCGCGAGCCGCCGGCAACGCGGAGGCGCCGAAGCGCCGCCGGCCCATTTGCTGACGGCGCTCTCGCGTGGTCTCGCGCTCTCTCGCTGGGCCAATGGGGATACCCGCAGTCGAGAGGCCGGCTTCACAGGCGTGGTGGCGCAGCTGTTTCCTCCGGTAGGTGCTTGGCTGCCATCTTGTGTGTGGCTGAGTCTGGGCTTCGCGGCGCTTGAAAACGTAGTTAGCGGCTTAAGGTGTAGAGGGGTCCTGAGGGAGCTGTGGAGGACGGGGCGGGGGTGTGGGTGCGAGGGCACAGAGCCGGCGCCTTCTCACTTCCCTGGAAGGGAAAAGTCTTCTTGGCCCGGTTCTCGGCCCTGGCTAGAGCGGTGAACGGTAGTGGTGGCTTTGGTTGGCTCGTCTTTGCGAGGGCTTGGTGGGACCCGTGATGCCTCAAAATCGAGTCCTGGAATTCCAGGACGCTGTTCCAATCATGTTTGCCTCGGAGATTCCGGCCCTCCACCTTACTCACAAAGGAGGTTGGCTGGTGGACTATCTGGTACGGAAAGGAACAGGGCTGGTAGGTAGTGAAAGGGGGCGAGAGGGAGCGCCTCGCCGTTATGCTCAGGTTGGAAAGAGACGTCTTCGTTTCCCGCTTTGGCGAAGGAGCGGCCGCCGAGGTGTGTGCTCTTCCCCGCAGTTATCCTTGGACTGAGGCCAGCACTTGGTCCCAGGGGGCGTCAGGTCCTGCGTTCGGGCAGTTTTGTTCATTAGTGTGCAGCCGGCACTCCGGCAGCGGTCTTTTTTAAACGCCGGAAGGTGCTGGTCTTTGTGGAATCTGTGGGAGTGCAGGCGGAATTTGGTCAGATCTTGGTTTCCCTGGTGACGATCGGGAGGGTGAGCCGTGTTTGGGGCGGCCTGGCCGCGGCGCCGTGGGCCTGGGCGGCTTTCCTGCGGGAACGCAGCCTAATGGCTGGGCTCTTTTTCGGTTGGAAGGAAGGACACAAGAAGTACCTCTTTTCCCCCCCCCTCTTTTTATTCTTTATCAAAGTAGGAAACACGCGTTGTCTAATTTGACGGGGAAATTTTATCAGATTTGAGAACCTAGCCGATAAAAGGCTGCGATTCTGTGATTACCTTTAGCAGTTTTGACATGCATGAGAAGAAAGCAAAGCTATTCTATTCACCTTACTGCCTTGAGTTTAGTTTTCAATTGTTCAAGGTTAACTGGTGGCCCAACAGAGTCAACAGTACCGTGTGTTTTGTTGCAGGAATACCAAAGAAAACAGCAGTAAAATAATTAAATATTTTATTTTTAAAATTTGCTTTTTAATTCGAATTTTATAAAACATAAATTGCAAGGGTTCCGGGATGAATAATTTATATTTTTATTTTTTTACTTACTGATTTTACAGAACGGGAGGGAGGGAAACTGATTTGTTCCACCTATGCATTCATTCGTTGATTCTTTTTTTACTTTTATTATTTTATAAAATATATTTTTATTGATTTCAGAGAAGAAGGGAGAGGGAGAGAGGGGGAGAAACATCAGTGATGAAAGAGAATCATTAATTGGCTGCCTCCTGTATACCCCCCACTGGGGATCGACCCCTGCAATCCCGGGCATGTGCCCTTCACCAGAATCGAACCAGGAACCTTGAGTCCACAGGCTGACGCTCTATCCGCTGAGCCAAACCAGCTAGGGCTGTTGATTCTTTTTTTTAAATTTGATTTCAGAGAAAGGGGGAAAGGAGAAGGGAAACATCAATTTGTTGTTCCACTTATTTATGTATTCATTGGTTGATTCTTGTACGTGCCCTGACCAGGGATCAAACCCTCAACCTTGGCATATTGGACTGCTCTAACCAACTGACTTACCCTGCTAAGGCCTCAAGTATCAGTAATTTAGTGTTGAATTGAAGCCTAAGGTACGTTAGAAATCTGTTAACTTAAGAAAACATTCAAACTTGTAAAGAAATTTTGCGAGTTTATGTAAACCAAACTGTCGACAATTGTCAGGAAGCAGAATCTCAGTTAGGAGAATGCTCCAGAGAATGGCGATTTTTTACCTTGTTTTATACATTACAACCAAAAGAGGAGATGTAAGTGGTTTACATGACATCCATTGCTGATAGATTAGGGAAGTGGGAGAAAGCAAAGCAGGGATTGGATAAAAAGTAAAACGATAGACACATACTTCTTTTACATAGGTGGGTGCAGGATAGTTAACAGTCAACAATGAACTCAGTAACTGAGGGGATTTGTGGTCTCCGCACAGTGGTGCCTGTGCTGTGCTTTAGGGGTCCAGAAAAAAGGAAAATTACTTTGACATTCCGACTATATGTGTTGTAATGTACCCCGAGAATCACGGAAGGACGCCTCAAGAAGTCGAATTAAAGAGTCACATTTATTGCAATCCGGGACTATGAGGGGCCATTCCCCAAATCTCATAGTCACAAGATGGTCGCAGCTCCAGGGTTACATCGGCAGAAAATCACAAAGGTATTGATTACATCCCAGGGTTTGGAATGAGGAACCTGGCTCGAAAAAAGCAGTTTACAGAAGCAGAATTAAGCATGATAATTATAGTTTTGGGTCTTGGGGGTCACTGAATTGACAGAAATACATTATCTAGAGCCCTCAGGTAACCTGGGTTAAACTTAGGCATGTTATCTAAATTACAGTTTTGTGTCTAGAGCAGGGGTGGGCAAACTTTTTGACTCGAGGGCCACAATGGGTTCTTAAACTGGACCGGAGGGCCGGAACAAAAGCATGGATGGAGTGTTTGTGTGAACTAATATAAATTCAAAGTAAGCATCATTACATACAAGGGTACGGTCTTTTTTTTTTTTTTTTTTTTTTTTTTAGTTTTATTCATTTCAAATGGGCCGGATCCGGCTCGCGGGCCGTAGTTTGCCCACGGCTGGTCTAGAGCCCTCTGACCTTGGAATAATAACTGCTGTCCTTCCCAGGTGAAGGAAAAATGTGCTTTCTAAGACCAGTATGACCACAACCCATGGGATATTCACATTACAATCAATAAGGCATTTAATCAAATGGGATGATTTATATAATTCAGAAAATCAAAATAACCTGTCCATTGTTAAACAAAGCAAATAGGTACCATACTTCATATGTTATCATAGATGCAAAAAAGACAAAAGACTCAGTTAAAGTAAAGATTGACATTTGTCAGGGAAGATACCAGCCTAGGACATGACTAAACATGATAACTGCTTTTAGTTAAAGTTTTAAATTCAGACCTTAGGTCTTTGAGTTTGCAAGACCACCACACAGGCCTTTCCTGAGCTTGTCAGGTTAGCCTGTGGCCCCTTTTTATCCACAGATCAGTGGCTAAGAAACACAAGTTTCCTAGAAAACGTGACTTTTAGTTCATTTGAACTATATTTTTTGCTTCCAATTTGTACATATAAATATTAAGGATTAATTCATATCCTTTTTGTGAGGTCTGTTTATGAACTATAGAGAAATTTAGATAATGAAGATGAGCCCTAAGTGAAAATGCTCTATATGCCATTTTTTTTCTTGAAAGCATGCATGAATACCAAAATTATCAGTGTCATAGATCTCTTACTGCTTTTCTAGTTTCTTTTTAACACAAGTCAAAAATACTTCAACTTTAAAATTTACTATATTGTATAAGTATATTTTGTAATTTTAAGCAGATAAATAATCTCTATATATAAAAACCCAGGGGCCATTACGGCAGAATGACTGGTCACTATGACGTGCACTGACCACCAGGCGCTCAATGCAGGAGCTGCCCCCTGGTGGTCAGTGCGCTCCCACAGCGGGAGCGCCACTCAGCAAGAAGCCGGGCTCACTGCTGGCCAGCGCAGCTGCAGCAATGCTAAGGAGCAGCTAGCCAAGCAGTAAGGAGCAAGCAGGTGGGCAGTTAGGAGCGCGGGGTCCTGGATTGCAAGGGGGCGCAGGCCGGGCTGAGGGACCCTTCCCACCCTCGTGCATGAATTTCGTGCATTGGGCCTCTAATTTGAAAATAGGTATCTTCAAATTTTTCTTTCATTAATGTAGTGCTATAGACGTAATAACAATGGGATGATTCTTAGAAATTTTTAAAATACCACTTTTGCATGAACAATATTAAGTAACTTTAAGTAAAAGTGATTTAACTTAGATTGGTATGTTAGAGATTACTTTTCATAGCAATCTCATAATATATACAAGTTTAGATTCTTTTCCCAATATCAAGTGATGTACGCTGTGTAATTTTTAAAATTTTTTGATAACTTTTAAATGAATGTGCTATTTTGTGACAGAATATAGATTAAAATTTGTCTACCCCAGCCAGTGTGGCCCAGTGGTTGAGCACCAACCTATGAGGAAGTCAGGTTTCAGTTTCCAGTCAGGGCACATGCCCTGCTTGCAGGCCTGATTCCCCAGTGTGGGATCATTGATGTTTCTGTCTCTATCTCCCTCTCGTTTTCTCTCTGAAATCAAGAAAATAAATAAAATTTATCTAAATCAGCATAACAATAAAAACTGCTCTCAGAAAGTGTTCAGAATTCTAACATTTGATACTTTAAAAATCTCATTTAAAATGTGATAGGTTCCCTACCCCAGTAACTGAAAAGCCAAGTTGCAAATAATAATAATTCTTTTAAAAATCATTTTTGAAATCTAGAAATACCTTGTGCTTTGTAATGTAGGCAGACAGACATGAACAGAGCAAGAATGATGGGCCAGGTACAAAAGGTCACCAGGTGGGAAGCCCTAGGTGCCTAGGAAAGGACAATCCTAGGGTAGAATCTTGCTCCCAGGGTGAACTTTCCTCCCTTAGAATATCTCTTGTCCTGTAGTTTGGACCCCCCCTAACCTTTCCTCCCGAGAGATAACATCTAGGCCTCAGTTGTATTTCAGTTTCAGGGTCAGAAAAGTAAAAA